GAGGGGCTCTCTCAGAGGTACAGCACAAAGCTCTTCAAAGAACACTTTCAATCAAAAATGAGAAGAGGGGGGTCCTTCTCATGGAGGGGCTGTATTTATATATCATTACGTGTCTGCACACTCACACACTCTACACGACCAGGAACATGGCGATGCATCTAAAACTCTGCCTATGTCCCTTTGCCAGTCCTACTGTTCTTCCAACACCCTAACCTCTGGCTCTGGGGAGCCCAGCCTTCCCTGGCATCCCAGCCCGCTGGGTGTCCGTTAGACCTGCTCTCTCCCGATGGTGCCTTCTGACCTCTCTGGATTTTCTGCCCTAAAATAAACTGGCCCTGCCGGTGGCTGCTTCTTGGAGCTCATTCCCCTGATCCCTCGGTGGCATTTGATTCTGCAGGGTATCACCATCTTCTCAAGCCAAATAAGGGCAATTAAACTAAGTTCTACCTCTTTGACTCAGGCAAAATGGAGACAGGAAGAAGCTTAGAGTACACCTGAATGATCCCTTTTTTAAAAGTTGAGGAAACTCGGGCCCTCTCCCGTGGCCAACAGGTTAAAGCACAGCACTAGGAAGCTGGCCACAACCACTTCAGCACAAGTTCAATCCAGGCCAAGAGGTGACCACATGGCGCGGCAGACCTCTCCTGACCCGCCCGCTGCTCCCCTCAGCAGTGTATTTCAGTACATCTGCCTGTTCTGCTCCCCACTCTGTCTCTGGTGAATCCTCTTACCGCCCCTGCACCTTCGCCTGTACCCCAGTTCTGTATGCATAAAAATTAAAGAAGTTGGGGAAACTCAGGTCAGATACTGAGTGACTTGCCCAAAGTTACATGCTGTGTGGCCACCTGTGAGGACAGCCAGGTCTCCCCATGTCCTTGCTTCTGCTCTTTACCCTGGAAAGCACAGTCCCCCCTCGAGTGGCTGGAGAAGCAGAGGGGCTGAATGAGCAGTCACCCTTCTCCCTCCCACACCAGCAGCCTTTGCTTCCCAGCCTCCTTCAGTTGTTCAGTTGGTTCATGGCACATTAGCTCCTCTTCTAAGATGGCTTTATAACATCATGTCTTGTTAACGAAGGTAAAATAAAATGAAGGCACATCTTTTGAAGGAGCCTGATCCCCTGACATCATTGCTGATACCCCAGGATCCATCCAAAGCTAAATAGAAAATTACTGTTCTATACACAGTCAATTCAACATGAAAAACGACCACCACAACTGCCCTGTGGTTTCTGTCAGCTTGTCACTGCTCTCTTCCACCTCATGCCTCGTTCCCTGCCCCCACATACCCTTCACCCAGGACAGAGGAAAGGGATGGGCTGGGGACAATGAGTCAGCAGTGTTCACATAATGTGGTGTTTCTGCGTGGCCAGGTGGGGGAGGTGCCCATCTGTAGACTGGAATGTCCAAGCTTGGGGTAAATCCTCTCCCTGGAGCATGGTCGTCTGCTTGTATCTGGGAGAACACCTGGATTCTGTCCATTTCCAGCTTTCTCACCATATGGAACTGTTTTATCATAATGTCATTGTTGGTCAAGTTTTATAAACAGTGGAAGGATTTCCAACTTTGAATCCAAAGTTTGCTAGGGTATTTTTGTTATTTTATTTTTTATTATTTTATATATTTTTTTTCACATCATTCTTCATTTTTAGACAATGTATCTTTATCATCTTGGGCATAATCCCCATGAAATTGTCACCTCCAGTTCACCTGAGCATCACCACCATAGTCCGTTGTGCTCTTCCCACCCCTATTTTGATCCTACTCCCTTCTCCCCTGCTGCAGAGTGTCTCTGGTTTTTAGTTGCCTGTTGATTTTGGTTTTTACTTTACTATAATGACTTTTTTTCCCTGATCTCTATTTGGTTCCCCTACACTCCTCCTATAAGTGAAACCATCCAATATTTTTCTTTGTCTTTCTGGCTTATTTCACTGAGCACAATCCCTTCCAGCTCCAACCATGTTCCTGCAAATGCATGTGTTTATCTTTTTGATTGCTGAGTAATATTCCATTGTGAATGTATACCGCATCAGTGTTTGCTGTTTTTGTAGGAAAGCTGGAAGAGGGTGAGGAAAAGAAACTTAAAGACAGAGTTGTTGAATTTAGTTACCTAATTGGGGTATGTTTCATTGTCTTCTGGGACTTGTCTTCCAGTTTGTTAAGGTATAAATTCCATGTTGTAAGTATAAAAATCTTAAATGTTCAACTCAATGAATTCTTATCTCTATACCTGTTATTATGCAGATCAAGATCTAGAACATTTCTAAAACCTGGAAAGTCCCTTCATACCGCTTCCTAACTTCTGGCAAAAGAAATCAACCTTTATCACCCAAGATTAGTTTTACCTAATTATATATATATTTTACCTAAATGACGCCACCTATATGTGGTGGCTGTCCTTGACAACAGGTTTCTTTTACTGAGGTTTTGCACCTATGAATTTCATCTCTGGATTTTCATGTAATTATTCATTTCATCAGTGATGTGGTATCTCATGGTAGGAATAATGCAATTTATTTATCCATTCTCCTGTAGATGGACATTTGTTTTTTCCCAGGTTTTGACTATTTTGAATGATGTTCTGATGAACATGTATGTGCATGTACCTTGGAGAAGATACTTGTTCCTTCCTCTTGAACATACCTCCAGGTGTAGAGAGTGCTTTCACACTCCACATTATTAGCAGTAGCTCTTCCTGGAATGTGTGACTATTGCTCATTTACCTTCTGTTCTTCCAGTCACATTATTGCTCACTCTACAGAGTGTACTTTAGTTGTTTTCAGTTTGATTTTTGCTATTTTAAAGTGTTACTAGGAACATTCTTGTAAAGGTCTTGTGGTATCAATACACAAAACTTTCTTTTGAGTATGAACAAAGGACTGAAAATGTTGTAGAGAAGGTATGTGAGTAGCTCATTTTGCAAGATGACAAAAACTGGGTCTTTGGATAGCCAGAGGAAGGGCTTGTTGTCTTGACTTCTTGCTCATTTTCGTCATTATGTGTCCCTAGTGTTCTCTCCAAGCCCTTCATTCCAACACAGTAACTCATGTCCCGAGGTTTAGGCAGGGTGGGGGCCGGCCCTGCACTTGCCCGGCCTCTGTGGCTACTGCTTTGCCCTTTGCCCTTGGGCTCAAGCGCAGACCTCAAGTTGCTGAGGGGATGAGGTTCTGAAAGGCCAAAACAAACAAAAAAAAAAATCAGAGTCTCCCAGACAGAGGACAGAGGTACTAACAATTTTCTAATCAAACCTCACTCTCTAACCCAAGGGTTGATTCACTTGCTAGCAGTAATCAACAATCTCTTAGAGAAAGGCAGAGTGAGCACAATGAATCATTCACATTTTTCACTTTTTAAGTCTCTTATATCTGCACTCTAGTTTCCTTTAACCTGGCTTCCTTTCATAAGACCCCCAAGTCTGTAAGCCTTTGCTGGATCACATGGCCTCAGCAGATGGAATATAAATTGGGAAGAGAGGCTTGAGGTTCAGATACTGACCTTTACCAATGGGCGTGTTCTTGCACATGAATTACAAATTCCCTTGTGTGCAAAAAATGATGGCCAGTATATTTATCCCCCTACTTCCTTTGTAATGATTTTAGGAATCACCACATTCCAAACTGGTTGGCCTTTTGTAGATGGTTAGACATTTCACTTTTCCCCATTTCTTTCTTCATCTCATCAGCACACCCACCAGCACTAAAGAAGCTGTTAACTAAGCCGAATGTAAACCACTGGCAGCCAGCTTGAACTACATAGCTCGACTGTGTTACATGATTCTTAAATGTTAGTCTAAGTCAGAATGTTGATACTCAGGTCTTGAGGCCAGAAAGACTGATCAGGGGGGTATGGAATGCAACTTGGGAATTCACAATTTAATTAGACCTGCAGGTGATTCTGACGCGGGTGACCGTAGACCACATTTCAAGAAGCACCAGTAGAGAATTGCTGGGAAAGGCCCATGTACTCTTGTAGCCCCGATCCGTGTGGGACATTAGTGCCCAGGGAAGTTAAGTGACTGGCCTGGCTTAGTTGGAGCAGAGTGTGGGCCAGAACCGAATCCAGCCCTGAGCTCTTCCCGCTGCCCCATGTAGAGGGGAGCAGACTAGTGGGAAGGAAGCTGTCTTTGCAACAGAATGGATTGAAATCAGATACAAAGGTGAAAACAACAGATCTGCCAGGGAGAACTTCCTGGCAGCGAGGCGTATTGAGAATGCGTACAGCATCGCCTTCCAGAAGGCCTAATTCATGACACACTTTCATCAGATATGAGCACTGAGGTGCAGTGTGGGGGACAGAGAAAAAGAAGGAAACCTCTTCTTTCTCAGAACAAACTGGTGACTTTGCATGAAAGAGTCCTTCCTTTTAGTTCTCTTGTGGCACCTAAATTTCAGGCTTCACAGCATTTGGGGGTCCAGTCCCATTGCTCACAAGGACAGGCCACTAGACCTGTGATGCTGGGCCACTAGGTCAGTTTCTTGGTCTCTTTCTCCTCACTGTGAAATAAATGGGGTGCACTGGATTTTTTCTAACATCTGTGGTTTCACTATTTTTAATTTTCGTTGTCACCCCTCCCTCCCCCACTAAAGTGTCTTACACTACACAGGAACTCAGTGAAGTTTTGTTGACTGAACAAATTAATTTGAATTAAAAATTATGTAATGCTGTTCAATGCTACTTAATATTTAGAGTCCAGGAACTCTACCTCTGGTTTTCCCCTCCCAAATCTTTCTCCTAGGCCAGTTTGAGACTTTATCTGAACAGTCTCTTGTCTGTGTAGTTATTTTTCTAGAGGAACCTAACCTCAAGTGAATATGAGCTTTAGCTTCAATATCCATGTTCTTCCATAAGTGATTGTTCAATCTGGAATATGCCGAGACTACTTACAGTCACTCCCTTAGCAGAGAAGCCAAACCAGAGGAACATTCCAGTGATAATCTCTGCTTACCAGCCCTGTGTCCCCCAGTCTCATCGCCACCCCACTGATGGGCTCTCTCCCCCTTTTAGAAAGCAGACCTGGCTGTGGCTGGCCTCACCATTACTGCTGAACGGGAGAAGGTGATTGATTTCTCGAAGCCATTCATGACTCTGGGAATTAGCATTCTTTACCGAGTTCATATGGTAAGAGACTTATTTTATAAGTATTTATATCATTAAAGTTATTTGCATGCAAACACTGAGTTATATGGTAATAATGAATGACTCACAGAAATATTTAGATTTCAAGACTTAAATGCAAATATGCTGGGCTATTTTTTCCTGCATCAGCTGCACGGACTTGCAGACAAGAAGCCTGGAGAAGTCACACTGACAGACTTTTCAGTGAAAATTGCTTCTGCCTCACTTTATAGGTTAGCCAGGTTGGGGATTGGCCTCATAGATCAATGCTTCCTTCTTGAGGGCAGGACCCCCATCCAGGATAAGTCACCCCAACATTCTCGAGGACTTCACCAACACCCAGATCCTCCTCTCTTCTCTCCAAGCTTTGCATCTGGTGAGGAATGCAGTCACCTTCCTCTCTTGAGAAAGGGTAGATCATCTAATGTCACTTGCACCTGGCCTGCTCCCTTGTCTGCATCCCTTAAATAAAGAGAGACTTCTCTGGTTAGGTTGGCTAGAGAGAGTGGTAACCTGAGTTTGTGAGAACACGCCAGTGGGCAGTAGAGCGTGGACATGACTTCCCACTTCCGAGGACAGCTAACGGGGGAGCATCAGAAGAGTAACCCTGGCTGTGCCCCCATCCACCATGTGGGTAATCGTTACACTGCCAGAATATCATTGGCTTTTCCTAGCCTGAACCACTGAGCCAGAAGAGCATGCCTCCAAACAGCTGTGATGCCGATGTCCCCAACACTCTAGTCACTGTAAATGGCCAGTGACATCTACCAGTGTATAACCTGGCACCAGAAGACTGCCCTCCAGAGAAGGAATCCCATGTACCTGCAGACCCTCCAGCTAACGTGCCTTCCTAGGTGTGAAATCCCAACGAAACAAAGAGGATTGTCTACATTCACTGCCTCAGCCTGGACTCACAGCTGCGCTATCAGTAACTGTGACACTGGCTTCTCCAGAGGAAATCTTACTGTCCATCGTGATCACCGCCTGACTGGGAAAGGAGGCCAAGTCAACGGAAGAAGAGACATCATCAAAACCCTAGGCTAAGACGGAAAGAAGTGTGAAGATTTGGTCATAATTGATGTTACTGCTGTATCTGTTTTGTGAATTAAGGCAGAAGTGGGGGGGTCACTTCTCTTTTCCATAATAATGATAACTCCCATTCATTGAGGGCCTCCTGGAATGCTCTTGCAGGCCTGGAATGTGGGTTTGTTATGCTTTGAACTGTGCACCCTCAAAAGATACATTGAAGTCCTAACCCTCAGGACCTGTGAAAGCAGCTTAATTGAACCCAGGGTCTTGCAGAAGCATTAAGGTTAAAATGAGGCTGTGGGTGTTAAGCGGGGTCCTAATCCAAGGACTGGTGTCTTGATCAAAGAGGGGAACTTGGATACAGACATGGGGAAGACCACGTGACATTGCAGACTGGGTTTGGAGTGATAAATCTACCAGCCACCAGGAACAGGAGTTGCCAGCAACTACCAAATCTAGAAGAGTAAAAATGGAAATCCGATATGATCTGGCAATTCCTCTGCTGGGTTTGTACCCAAAGAGTATGAAAACACAAATGAAAAGATTTATACTCTCCTAGGTTCATTGCCATACTGTCCATGGTTGCCAAGGCATGGAACCAACCTAAGTGCCCAAGAGCAGATAACCAGGTAAAGAGGTGGTGGAATATAGACTCACTGGGCTATCCTGCTCAGCTCCTAAAGAAAATGAAATCATGCCTTTTGGGACAAAATGCGTGAACCTTGAGGTGTTATGCTAAGCAAAATAAGTCAGAAAGTCAAAGTCAAATATTGGATGGATTCCTTTATCTGTAAAACAGAAATAACCAAAAAGCATACACTAGCAAAGCATCACAAAAACAATTTAGACTTAGTGAAGTATACTAGCTATCCATGGGAATGAGGAAGAGGGGGGGATAAGCCAAGGATGTTTGCAGGGATCGGGGGGAAGAGGTCAAAACCCTGTGCAGATAGGGAGAAAAAGTGTACCCCAAAGTTATATAGATATGTAAACAATTTTTTTTTAAAAAAAAAAAAAGAAGACTAGACGAGGCAAGGAAGGAGCCTCCCATAAGCCTTCAGAAGGAGAATGGCCCTGCTGACAACTTGAGTTTGAGCTTCTTGCCTCCAGAAGTGTGAGACTATAGATGTTTTTTGATGCTACCCTGTGTGGGGACCTTTGCCACGGCGGCCGTAGAAAAAGGATATAGTCTTGTTCTTGTTTGAGGAAAGAGGAAATGGGTGCAGTCACTTTTAAGACCCTGGCCAAGGTGACACGAAATGAATGAGCAAAGTTCAGCCCTGGAGCAGGTGACGCACTGTGTTCTCTCTGCCACCAGACCGCTGCCCTCCTCTGTGACCTCTGAATACGTGTCCCATGTGGTGCTCTGGTCACCTTTCAACATTTAGTCCTCAGGATTGCGCTGTGAGAAGAGACGGAAACTGTGATTCCCATCTTGCAGAGAAGGAAACCGAAGTCACCCGTAGCCTGACCACAGGGCTGGGCCTGGAATGCCGGTCTCCTGACTCTTGGGAAAGGGCTCTTCGTCATTGATTCTCCCACTCCCTGGACACTTTTCTAGCTAGTACTATTTCCTGAGCCCCCACCTCCAAACTGAGCCCAAGGGGGCATCCAAAAGAAATGAAAATACACAGCCTTTCTCTCAACTACACGTCACAGCCAGGCAATACAACTAGGCTCTGGCCTGGATTTCTTGACCAATGCCAAGGGGACCCAAGCCCTATTGATGACCTGATCGGTCATGAAGAACCATATGGGTGCAGGTTCCTCACCCTGAGGGTTCCCACCACCTGGGAATATCTGCTGCTGGCCTGCCCTTTCCACCTGGGCATCCCATCCTGAGTAGCAGCTCTCTGAAATGAAAATCCACCTTATGGATATATTAAATTGGATCAACTATTTGCTCACAACCCCCAAATCTACACCTGGATGAACTTTCCTGCATTAGTTCCTGAGATGTAGAGTTTCATGCATCCCCTTAACTAGACTGTGGTGCCCAGATGTGTTGGCAGTCACTAATGCAGATGTTGCTATGAAAGGATTTTGTAGATGTGATTAATTGCTATAATCAGTTGCCCTTAAGTAAAGGAGGTTACCCAGGATAATGTGGATGGGCCTATCTATTCAATTGCAGATCTTAAGCACTAATACAAGGTTCCCAAAGGAGAAGGAATTCTGCCTCAAGATTGGCATGTAGAAGTTCTGCCTGATTTCCAGCCTGCCGCTCTGGTCTATAGGTTATGGACTTTTAACAGCTACAGTCATATGAACCAGATCACATGAGCCAGTTCCTTAAGATAAATCACACACACGTGCACACATGCACACACACACACACCCTACTGGTCTGTCTCGCCGCATAACCCAATAGTTCCCCTACTGTGCCAGGCTTCCTCCCATCTTCTAGCCTCCATACTGAGACACTTGCATGCCACATAGCTGCTCAGAACTGATTTATAACAGGGGACCAAACAGGAGAAATTGAGTGCTGGCATGAATAGCTTACTCTAAGGAGAACTGACAGTTGATGCATTTATTCAACTAATATTTATCAAGTACATTCTGCGTCTGAGGCAGTATGCTTAGAAAGTACCAAAAACTCAGCTGGGGATAGAACCATCCTGAATTGACTGAATCAAGAGAGACCTGGTGAGCAGGAGTTTGAGATGAACTCGACTGTCTCTGAAACAAAGGCGGCACTAGCAGGGACAGCTGCTGTTGCTAAGGTTAGTATCCTCCCTGAGGGTAACTGTTCCTTATCCATCACTGTAACCCCATCACAGGTACAGTCATTATAAGTCTTCGCTAAGAAGCAAGAAAGTAAAAAATCACAGACTCAGGAACCAGACTGCCTGAATTTAGTCTCAGATCTGACATTTACTAACTTCATGTTCTATATGTCTTATTTCTTCATCTGTAAAAATGGACTGTCATGCAAATTGGATGAGGATGTCTATGTAAGGTACTTAGGACAGTCCCTGATAGATGCACACTGAAGTATTAGCTAGTAGGTTTAATAAACCGATAGGAATTGCTCCCCACTGCAGTCCAACCTCAATCCATACTGCAGCCTGAGAGTTGTTTTTAAATTTTATAAGTGTGATCATATCAGCCTTCTACTTAAAATAATTCACTGGCTACTCATCACTTACATGACAAAGTTCAACCTTCTTAGTATGGAAAATAAAGTCTGTCTTTTCCTGTCCCACTTCCATTTCTTTGCTGCAGACACCTTCACCCTATTCTTTTCACTGCTTTCCCATTGTGTCTGCTTTTTCCTGCCTCCTTGTCTGGATTCATACTCTTATTGCCTCCCAAGCATCTAAAAAACTCATCCTTGGCCTTCTGATCACCAAGATCTACAAAGAACTAATATAACTCAACAAAAAGAGAACAAAAAAAAAACTTAGTTTTAAAAATGGGCTGAAAGATAAAGAGACACTTCTCCAAAGAAGACATACAGATGGCCAACAGGCACAGGAAAAAATGCTCATCATCACTTATCATTGGGTAAATGCAACTCCAAACCACAGTGAGACCCCATCTCATACCTGTGAGAATGGCATCTATCAAGAAGGCCAGAAATAATAAGTTTTGGCAAGGATGTAGGGGGAAAACGAACCCTCATACGCAGTTGGTGGGACTGTAGACTGACCCAGGCCCTCTGGAAAATAGAATGGAGGATTCTCAAAATAGTAAAAGCAGATCTGCCATATGATCTGGCACCACTTCTAGGTATCTACCCAAAGAATGCAAAAACACTAAATTAATGGAATATGAGCACTCCTGTGTTCATTGTAGCATACAATAGCAAAGTCACAGAAATAACCTAAGTACCCAATGACAACAATGGCGTACGATGCAACTCTTTTTTCTAAAAGGTTGAAATCTTACACTTGCAGCAACACCAACAGAATTGGAAGGGATTACATTAAGCAAAAAAGTCAGAAGCAGAAAGACAAACACTGGATTGT